ATATATTATGCTTTTGTTGATGAATGGTAAAATTCCAAGTGCAATTCACTACATATTACTATCCCAATTTGTAATATGACCTGCTTCCCTTGTCTGGTCTTCCCATCCTCCACATCTTACACTATAGTAAGGCATTTAGGTGCATCCAGTTCTACACTTCTAAATAGTAACTATCACCTCCTTCACTCTCACTTGAGCTAATGGTTGTCTCCTCAATTTCTGCATCTTAATACTGGTACTTCCCTGCCCCCAGGCTATATATCCAGTGGTCATATTTACCCCCTGTTCATGATCAATCAACCCATCTTGCATATTCATTAGAAGGACTGATGCTGAAGCTCCAATACTTTGGCCACCTGATGTGAAGAGCCAACTTCATTAGAAAAGACACTGATGCTGGGAAATGTTGAAGGCAGAAAGAGAAGGGGACAACAGAGGATGAGGTGGTTGGATGACATCACTGACTCAATGGACATGAGTTTGAGCAAGCTCCAGAAGATGGTGAAGGACAGGGAAGCCTGGCCTGCTGCAGTCCATGGCGTCACAGAGTCAGACAGGACTGAGCGCCTGAACACCACCACCACAATCATCCATGACACAAGATCAGGCATTTTCAATCCAACAGTCCTTCAAAATGTGTTAACTTGCCCATTCTTCATTCCTCCTGCTACCACAACCCTAATCAAGTTATCAGGGTGGCACACCAGGATTACACCCACAGCTGCCTAACCCATGGCCTTGCTGCACCAATCCAATCTCGGACCCATCCTCCAAGTCACTGGATAACTCAGAAAACCTTCAATGGCTTCCTATTGTTGAGCAAAAATGCCAAACTCCCAATTATCTAATTTTGTCACCCACACCCTGTAAAACTTGGCAGACTCCCTACTGCAGAGCTGAATTAAGTAAACATTTGAAGAAAGAGCAAAAATCCTTCAATCTGGAGGAGGTTTGCTTCCAAACCCACCTCCAGGCCTTCCCTCCAACGTGGTCCTGGTTCCCAGAAGCCTCTGCTGCCCCCCCGGGTGCCTCCCCCGGCTCCCAGCTCCCACGCATCCGCGGGGCTCCTCAAGTTCCCACTCCAAGGAGCCTTCTCTCAGCTCTCCCCACCACAGGGCCTGCTCCCTCCTCCCATTTCCGGAGGCGTCTGCTTTAACCACACAAGTGACCCCTGATGGTGCTGACTTACTTTTTTTTTTTTTTGTTTACTTTCTGCGTGCTTATAAATTTGGTCTCCTGTATAAAATCTGAACATCTCTAAATAAGACATGGATGCTGCTTATACCTTTTTACACATCTCGCTCACTGCAAAGTTCCATGGCATTTCATTTAAACTGTAAGCACTCAAATACACACCTGTTTATTAACATGAAGGAACACGGGGAATGTCAGGCAGAGAAAAAAATTTAGGTTCCCAACACTTAGGTAGGAAACAAAGCTGACTACACCTAGACTTCAACTTCTACATCCAGACAAAACATTAACCGCCACATGTCACTAAAACAGCCTGCGTAAAAAAATTCAAACGCCTTAGGCTGGAGATGTTTTATGCCAAGTTCCACTCTGCCTGCCATTCTAGTACCATTTCCCAAGCTTCTATGTGTCAGGCCACCTCCATGCCTGGAGTTCTTTGCTTTTGCTTACACTATTATTTCCTTCTTCTTTCTTTGCTCCACAATCCTCCACCTTCTCCATTTGATAAACAGAAGCTCAAATATCACCACTGCCCAGCAACTGTAATGACCCTCTCTAGGAAGATGTAATTAGCCCCATGTTATCTGCTTGATAATTAATACTATACAATGCATATCAACCATATTATGTGCTATATAATGTATATCAACCATATTGTGGATTTTTTTTTAAACACTTAAACACACACAGTGAGATAGTTAAGTTAATTCATCTTTATAACCCCAACATCTGACAGTAAGCAACTTAAGAAAAAGAACTGATTAAAAAAAAAAAAAGAAAAACAAACATAAAATAAGCTAGAACAGGGTTCATTTTAGTCCTCCAGGACCCATGTTTCCTTATCTGTTTCGGTTCCACTAGGTCTCTCTGCTCGACACAGCTATCAACTCCCCCATTACCAGCACATCTGGTCTCAAAGGAACAATGAAGCTTCCCTCCACCTCCCCTAAGCTACAGGAGAAATCACCTAACTAGTGTTGCAGAGAGGTTGGGATATTTATAAGGAAGAAAAGTCAGGAAAAATGTCAGAAAAAGTCAGCAAATAGGTTTACAGAGTGCTCGCTGCCGATCCACTCTTAGAACAAGCCCAGGTGTCCAGCAAAGTGATTCAGTGATTCATGGTCAATCAACTATGCATGCTAAGGCCGACTCTTTGAGATCCCATGGACTGTAGCTTTCCAAATCCTCTGTCCAAGGGATTCTCCAGGCAAGAATACTGGAGTGGGTAGCCATGCCCTCTTCCAGGGGATCTTCCTCACCCAGGGATTGAACCTGCATCTCCTGCATTGCAAGCAGATTTTTTTTTTTTTTTTTACAGCTGAGCCACCAGGGAAGCCCCTCAATCAACTATACACTAATACAAAATATAAATTTAAAAATAAATAAATGAACCACAGTTTACTCAAGAAAAAAAAAAATAGAAAGCCCAGGCTCGCTGGAGACGTGCCTAGCACAGCCCCCAAAGGCGCCTCGCTCCCTATTCTTCCCCCACAGCACCGTCTGCGGTAGAGAGTAAACAAGAGATCCTCAGCTTGCTGAGCCAAGGTGGATTTGCGTTGGTACCACACTACCCAAGCCTGATGAGATCACCCGAACCTCTGCCAGATCCACAATCCCTTCTAGAAACTGCTGATCACTTCTTTTCTTCAGGGACAGTTCCCCCCACATCATCCCATTGGACTCTTAAGTCATCTGGAATTCTCACTCAGATGCCACGCAGTCCCAGGACAGCACTTCCTCTCTGGTCCCAAAGATTCCAACCCAGCCTCCAGGCCCACTGACACAGAAGCCCCACCGGTGGCTCTCCAGCACTCTGCAGGGACTCCTGCCCTCCCCTGGGTTTCCCTGGCCAAGCCCACTGTGTCCAGTAAAACTCCCCTGCGACTGTGATGCAGACACCAGAAAAGATACGTCTTAACCCAGCCTCATCAGCTCCCACATGGCCTCACACTGCGGTCACAGCTTCTACCTGGAGCCTTTCCACAGAATCACATCAAGAAGACCAACAAGGACCCAAGATGCACCGTCTACTGAGACCCTCTAGGGTGTCCCCATTTCCCGATGCCCACAGCTACCGGTGGCTTAGAAAACAGAAGTCACAGGTTCCGAGGATGATCGTGACTCTGCCGGCTCAATCTTATGAGCTTCATCCACCTCTCCAGGCTCTTTAGCAGCCCACTCGCAGGCTCTTCTGCAAGTGGTCTTCCAGAATTACATCGTTAGAGTTTTACAACAAAAACCTTATAAAAACGTCTACGGCTCCCCCATATACCCCTCAGCCCCGTCCCGGGGGGCCCGGCGTGCACAGCAACAGACATCAGGGGAGAAACATGCGTTTCTGTTCCCTGGACTTTCATTACCCAGAATCCTTTTCCACCCGAGAGTCACTAGACCGTATTTACCTTTTCTGGGCAAAACACAAGCTTATGAAGAACTCTGCCTCCTAATGTATAACCCAGTCTACTTTACAAACTGATTCTTTTTTTTCTCGTATTTTTTTACCCATTTTCTCTTGGAGTCTATCTCTATGAATGACTTAATTTCAAGCATTTACTGAATCAATATCTAATACATATCAGGTGCATATCTAATACACAGCACTTTCAAGTAAGTTTTTTTCACAGAATCTTTACAACTTTTTATAACGTTATGTACATGTTCAAATATACACAGAGTAAACAGTATAGTAAACTCAATACTCCATTTTCCAATTGCAAAAATTATCATACTGCCTATTTTTCCTACACCACCAGAACTGGGTTATTTAAAACCAAATCTCAGATATCATAATCTCACCTATAAATACTTCAGTGGACATCTCTTTATAGTTTCCATATTCAGAATATTATTACCAAGCCTAAAAATCAATTAATAATTACTTTATATCAAATAATCCTATCAGTATTCAAATTCCCCGATTCCTCAATTTTTAACAGTAACACATTTTGATAAGGAAAGTGATGCTAAGAGAATTAATAACTTCCTAAGCCATATATACACAGCAGCAGAACAAGTTTCTCACTTGAAGCCTTGGGTTCTTTAAATACAGCGCACCTACCTTCTCACCATGTTTAGAAAAGGTCTACATATGTACTTTTTAAAATTATCTTTACAAAAATGGCCTTGCTTCTTTTGAGTACTTTTATTGCCAGTTAAATAACCTTAAAAGTGATTCAGTGTTTGGGACCTGAGGCAGACTTTATTATTAGAGTATTAGTCACTCAGTGCCCAATATCACAAAGTAGGTGAAAATATAAGAAACGAAGGAAATAAATTTGTACATGCAATGTAGTACCTATTGTTACTCGTACTGAGGCTGCCTCAAGGGCAGCGCAGCTGAAGTTAAATGCTATCATGATATCAGGTAATAACAGCAGCAATGTTCTGCTCAGGAGAGACCAGGGTAGTCCATTCTGGATGAATGACGGATGACGAAAGGTGTTTACAAAGAGCTTTAAACCTCTTAGGACGGAAAGCTTTAGTATCATCTGCTGCACAGGACAATCTTGGAAAGGTAAATGGGTTGTGAGACTAAATTCCCCAACAACCCCTTTTCGGTACTGAACATCATGTGAGACAAGAGAAAGTAAAATACAAACCATGCAGCCATCACAGCCAGTTGCCTACAAGTATGTGATACATTTTAAAAGACAGATACAAAATTGTAAAGGATCTCTTTTACAAGTCTTAAGTAAAGGTACTTCTGGGGATGTTTTTAAAAATGAATGAAAAAGAGGGCTGCTAGAGAATAATCTTTAAAAGTTGCAGAACACAAATGAGAAACAAACAGATTCCTTTATACCGACCTTCAAAAATATTGTTTTAAGTTCAGCTGGATCTGCTCTCTTGGTCAAAGCCACCTATAAATAAACATAAAAATGTTTATATTATTAGAACAAAGCTGAGAAATCAAGCTCACAGACTGAGAGAAAATAAACTCCAGGTTAGAAATCAGTGAATTTCATTTCTGCACTTAAAGCACTAAATTTACCCAGTGCTTAAACTACTCTCTGGATTTTAAATTAGACTTCTTATGAGGCTTCTAGAATGATAACATTCCATACAAGAAACAAAAGCTCCTAATATGCAGTGTTTAATATATATCTTTTTTTCCCAAAATGAATAAGGAAAAAAAAAAGTTAAAACATATTTGCAACCACCTGGCATTTTAAACTGCAACCCAGAGTGACCCAAACCCTTTCACAGGGGAATATTAAATATTAAAGTACAACTTGTTAAGTATGCAAGAAAACGTAGTTTTTAGAGAAGTTAGTGAGTAAGGCAAATAATATTCACAGACAGAAGGCAATTAATTCCCATGGTTCCACAATGGACAGGCATGAACACCCAGCCATCTGGTCCTGTCCAGCAGTATCCTCCTCTCCCCAACTTTATCAAAAAAATCCAGAAGTCTCCAATTGTACAGCATACAACCATTGTTTTCTAATAACTTTAAAAGGAATATAATCCATAAAAATATTGAACAATGTTGTACACCTGAAACTAATATTATAAATCAACTGTATTTCAACGAAAAAGAAAAAAAGAAACCATAAGTCTCCAAATGTATGATTATTATTTACCACATTCTGGAATACAAGGGGCTATGGTTACCTTTCAAGAGCAAAATTTGACAGATTAGCTCAGAATAGGTGTTGTGCTTAATTCTCCAGCCCACAAAGTCCAAAAACATCACTGGGGAAAGAGAAGACAAACTTGAACATGGCTGCCCCAGGCCAACACAAAAGAGTCCTTATGTGGAACCAAACAGTGGGCTTATTCAGCATCCCATCACCCAATCCTGCTGGCAGAAACCGTCATGAGACTGAACTCTCCCCAAGCACAGCATCACCCCATGATACAGCCAAGGAGGGGTTCCTGGAACCACCCCAATACTGGAGCCCTGTCGCCATCCATGGGGAGATTTATGCAAATTGTTCTAAATCCCTTCGGGGTGTTTGCAAAGGCTCTCCTGAGATCTTTGGACAATGGGTTCTCTGTCTTGAAATATGTAACTGCCTGAGCTCCTTGGCCCGCCACTGTCAGGAATAATTTTATTAACTAATCACTGGAATAGGAGAGGTAGTTTTCCTGAAACCAGTTAGCTGGTCACCTTGTTTCCCAAACCAAGACTGATAACTCCTCACTTCTGCTGAGCACTTGTAACCACCAATGCTATTTTTAGCCATGAGAATTTGTAATCTTTTTAAAATCCTCAATCACTGAGTGTTCTCTGCTATTCAATTAAAGAGAAAAAATATATAAAAATCGACTGCAAAACCAACCTAAGACTGATGATAGTGCTGTTGAGAGTCTCACAAGATCTCCTCCGTGCAGGTCTATACTGAGAAAGGTGGGGAGGACAAACACTATTGGAGATGAGACAGCATGAGAAGTTTCCATCCTCTTCGAGAGAAAAGACATTCCCTCCAAGTTCTACATCTCAAGACCATAAGTAACATTTTTTTAAAAGGCATATGGTGACCCTCAGCACTTAATTGGGTTTCCTTTTAAAAGCAAAGGTAAGTTTCCACAAAGTGAACTATTCCTACTCCATCTGAATAACACATCCTTTAAAATCAAATTAATTCACTGTGCCACACACACTTCATAAAGCCTTCCCTGGGCAACGCTATTTCAGGGGGAACTTCCCCCGCCCTGAACGCCCACAGCATTCTCCTCCTTACTGATCCCAGAGCGCACAGTCACCGCTCACCGCCAGGACTAGCCCTCTGTGAGAGAAAGCACGCTTTCAGTCTGTAACTCCCCCAGGGTGGCGGGCCCGGGAGAAACCCATCCATATGGCGGGCCAGCGCTTCTAAGCCATGTCACCTAATGTGTACAGAACACTTAAAAGTTTTCAGAGCAGGACTCTGACGCCACTGGATCCCCACGGCAGACCTGAGACTCAGACAGAGCATATTATTGCACTCATTTGACAGAAGGGGAAACCAAGACTCAGAAAGGGTCACTTATTTCCCTGAAAGTCAGATTTAGCAGCACTTTTTGCTGACATTTCTAAGTGTTTTCTAAGCGGAGGTCAAGTTCCAAATCTTCCATCCCCTTACTGTGCTGGTCTCACTGAGTCACATCACAGGCAGCTTTAAATTGACCATAGCTTATGTTACCCCTAATGTAAAACAGCACATGCCTAAAAACCAAGACTCTCCCAGTTTCTCCTACTACCACCAGTTTGTAGTGTCCATCCAGTGCTATGATTAAGAACATGCTCCAGTATCAGACTGCCCTGGATTGTGGGGGGGCAGACCTGAGCTCTCAACTCACTAGCTATGTGACCCTCCCGTTTTAAGCCAACTCAGAACACCTGTTCAGGCAACCTCACGTGGCATCACCTGACAAGCCTTAGTTCATCAGGCTTTAGAAGTTTCTCAAACTGTAGCTTTTTCTCCAAAGGCTAATTTTCACTGTTTTATATACAAGTATATATTTCTCAAATACTGCTGCTGCTGCTAAGTCACTCAGTCATATCGGACTCTGTGTGATCCCATAGACGGCAGCCCACCAGGCTCCCCCGTCCCTGGGATTCTCCAGGCAAGAACACTGGAGTGGGTTGCCATTTCCTTCTCCAATGTGTGAAAGTGAAAAGTGAAAGTGAGGTCGCTCAGTCGTGTCCGACTCTTTGCGACCCCATGGACTGTAGCCCAGGTTCCTCCCTCCATGGGATTTTCCAGGCAAGAGTACTGGAGTGGGGTGCCATTGCCTTCTCCATCTCAAATACTAATAGCATGTAAATATTTACAGTTATTGGGAGAAGGAAATGGCAACCCACACCAGTGTTCTTGCCTGGAGAATCCCAGGGACAGAGGAGCCTGGTGGGCTGCCGTCAGAGGGGTCACACAGAAGTCGGACACGACGGAAGCGACTTAGCAGCAGCAACAGCATTAACAGCTATTATTCTTACTACCTAGTTGCCTGATTTGCTTTACCATTACTGTTCTGAATTTGCATTTGTAAGAATAGATGCCACCATTCAAACATTTTTATATCAAAAGTTTTAAATAAAGTAATTTTCAAACATTGTTAGGGAGTAAATCACCCAGAAGAAAAAGGATTCTTGGCAGACAACTATGAAATATCACCATTTGCTACTTAATAAAGAAATTTATATACAAGCACATAACATTCAAACAAGTGGAGGTTAAAGAAGAAAGCAGGTGGGGGGGGGCTGTTAAAAATGGAAACTATGCATTATCTTTTTCTGTAAACTGGGAGACCTTTACCTTTGTTTAATGACAGTATAGAGATTTCAGGTCAATCCCCCCAAAGTATGTTCCACAGGGCAAAATTTGAGGATCACTGAATATGTAACATTTTTGACAAGACAAACATTATAAATAACAGTTTAAATAGGTTATCAATAGCATTTGCAAAACACACATACTGGCTAGGTACATTCCAAATACAGAAGAAAAAAAACAGCCAACAATAATATAACTTGAAGGACTGGTTTTTAAAAGCCGGCAGTAAGACACATGGCAAGGAAACCCAGAAAGGTATTTTTGAGGACAAATAAATTCACTTTCATTTTAATATGAGTTACAACAGCCAAACAGAGAAAGACACCAGAAAAGATTTGTTTATGTGCAGGAATATTATTTAAACTGGATTTCTTACTCTGGAATCAAGACTCAGTTGAGGGCTCATTGCTTTAACAAACTGCAGAGGTACAGAACTGTGCACTTAAAATAGTTGCTAGGTCTAACCAGGGGTGTTGAGAGGGAACAAACATAACCTACAAAAAAAAATCAGGGATATTAATTTGAAGAAGAAAACATGCAGAAAAGTTCTCTTCTGACACTGGGAAGGTCGAGCCAAGACCGCAATCTCCTCGCAGACACCTTACTCCTCCACGTCCCCTGCTCCAGTAAAGGTCAGAAACTAAGTAGGAGCTCTGAACATGTTCTTAAAGAAAAACTTTCAGGTGAGTAGAAATCAAATCTTTACAAGGAAAACAGGTAGCTCCTGTTAGGCTAATGGAAGCGCAAATTCTCACACTCCACCCCAAATCTACCAAATCAGAAACTCTGAGGGCAGGATCAAGCAATCTGTGGTTTAACAAAGTCCTCCAGGTGACCTTGATGCTTGTAGAGTATAAGAACCACAGCTGTGGTTAACGTAAAATCCTGTCTGACTGGGCTTGAGATCCACTGCCCGGCCTGCATGTTTGCATTGCCTTGGGGCTTTGGGGTTTTATCAATCCCCAGGCTGATCAAATTAGACAGCAAAATCCAGCTGGATTAGAATCTCTGGAATGGGTACCTTTAAAGCTTCACCACGAGATGATGACGGACCAGGCTGAGAACCACTGGGTTAGAACCCAGGACGCCAGACCTCGTTCAGCTTGCTACCTCGCTCAGCAACAGTTCTTCCACCACCCTCCCAAACCTGAAAGGTCTGACAGTCAAGACAAGCTCAGACTTGCACTGAAAATTCTACTCTCATGAAGTAATTGTTTACTTTAGATATGAAGAGAAAACCAGACTCTGTGTGTGTGTAAGCACACGCATGCTTGTTTGCATGCGCTGACAAGCAGAAAACGGAGAGGTGGGAGAAACCTTCAGAGTGGGTGGTCCTGAGTCCCATGGAAAGCACTACTGTGTGTGACCTAATAACTCAGAAGCTGGGGCTGTACTTTCTTCCCACTGTATCTTCCTACACTGCAGAGACTGGGGTTAAACTACATTTCCCAGAATCCCTTGCAGCTAAGTGACCTAGGTGCTGTCAATCAGAGGAAGCTAAGTGAGATGTGGGAGGCAAAGTTTTGGAAAGCGAAGATCTGGAAGGTAGGGGCCATGCCTTTGCCCTTTCTGCCAGCAAGCATCATCCTTGGAACTGGCTG